GGCTGTGGTGGCCCAATAGGTGGCAGTTTTTTAAAAAAAATTCCTAGTTTTTTTGTTTTGTTTTTTGCATTATTTTTTTTTTGTTTTTTGCTTTATTTTTTAATTCTTTTTTGCTTTTAGGTCGGAAAAAATATATACTTTCTGTTAGTGCCATTACTTTTCAAATTTGAATAGTTAAAATTTGAATTCTTTGAAATTTGTATGAATCACAAGTTTGTGATTAACTTTACTATAAAAATAGTTTTTTTCCAGTTTTTTCTTTTGTTTTTTGCATTATTTATTTTCTTTTGTTTTTTGCTTTGTTTTTTAATTCATTTTGCTTTTAGGTCAGCAAAATTATAAACTTTCTGTTAGTGCCATTAGTTTTAGAAAAAATATTTTGTTTTTTTGTTTTCTTTGTTGCTTTATTTATTTTATTTTGTTTCTACTTACAACAAAATACTTATTGTTGCTATTTTTATTTATTTTATTAAAGTTTATGTTTAATTATTTTTCTTTTAAGTCACAAAAATTATAAACTTTCTGTTAGTGCCATTAGTTTTCAAATTTGAATAGTTAAAATTTGAATTCTTTGAAATTTGTGTGAATCACAAGTTTGTGATTAACTTTACTAAAAAGTGAGCATAGATGCGCCTATAGAGAAAATTCAACCTAAATTCATAATAAATTTCTATGAATTTCAGAGAAATTCAGTATGAATTTAGGTCAAATTTCCTGTATAAGGGCATCTATTTTCACTTTGAGATGAGCTCAACAAGGCAGAGAGGGAGGGGCTTATAAACCGGTGTGAGCGTCCTTCGGTTGGCGAGGTGGGACTAAACTCTGACCGCAACGAGGACCAACCTTTTAGTCCCGATTTGTGGCACAAGAAGGGACTAATGGTCATGGGCCATGGGCGAGGCGCATTGGTCCCGGTTCGTGCGTTGTTGTGTTCAGCAACTAGTATTTACCAGTTCATTTGGTCACATGAAAACAGAATCGGACGGTGTTGTGTTCAGCAAACATCAGGGAGAGATTCTGCACGCCATGGAAAATGAAAAAAAAATGAGTGTCGCGATGGGTGAACTGAGTCAAGGAAGATGGCTGAATGGACCGTGATGGGTGCCGCGGCGTTGTTGTGCTATCAGGGGCGTGTTGTGCTGAATGAACCACGGTGGTAGCCTAAAGATAGTAACTGACAATCTCCTCCGCCGTCTGTGCGGTATTTTTAAACTGGGAAACAGGAAGAAGAAAAGCCAAATGCTGCAGCTGTTACTAATAGAGTTTGTGGTAGACGTGTTAAAAAAAGAGTTTGTGGTAGACAGCTCGAAACGCCAAACAAATGTATTCATAGGTGGTGAAGAGCTGCCATAAAAGAGAACAAGAGCACCTACAAGGCTAAAGCTCTAGTGCGGATATCAAGGAGAAGCTGAAGTGTTTCTTTGAAGGAGGACCAGAGCTCCTACAAGGCTAGAACTCTAGTTTTCGAGATCAATGAGAAAAATTCTTATTTTTCTGGCATGAGCGGTAGGAGTATCAAGTACTCCCCTCCGTCCCAAAATATAAGAACATTTTTTACCCTAGCATAGTGTCAAAAACTTTATTATATTTTGGGAAGGAGGGAGTACTTCACAATTTTGTTGCATAAATTGTGATTATATTGCGCAAGAGACCAAAAAATTGTTGGATGAGAATTTCCTTTTTGTTGCAATGGATTTATAAATTTGGAGCGTAAGCTTAATCTGGTTTGTAGTTGGATGGTTGTCGGCTAGAATAGCGGTAAACAGCAGACTACCAATCTTATTCATCCTTATTGTTACATTGAGAGAAGTAAATTTGACCATGAAATCATCAACGGAAGAAGCAGCTAACAAACATGCATGCACAATGAAAGAAGCAGCTAACAAACATGCATGCACAATAAAGATAGGGGTTCTCCAAATTAACAATAGTGCGGACGTCTAAATTGGTTCACACGGTAGGATCAATCATTGATGGTCTGGAGCAAGGGCTAGTCATCCATCTTGACGTAGATGCCAAGCGCGTCAAGGAGGCCTCCGGAACGCCCGTGGAAGACGATGATTCGGCCGGCCGCCGCAGGCAACTCGAACGGCGGGCCTTTCCTTATCCCGTATGGTCCGAAGGAGCGCCGGTTGCCAACTAAAGTAAGCGCTCCGACAAGGAAAGAGCCACCGAACTCGCCCACATGCCCTTTCATACCGGTGAGGTATTCATCCGAATCCAAACAGATCTGCACATGCCAAAAACAAAATAACAGATACATGAAGTGCTAATTTTCCTAGGCGCATTTTGAATGATTCAATTCAAAAGTTGTACGTTCATTGGAATGGCATGGCATCCCCTTCAGAAAAGATCTATCAAAGAATAATGTGATGAATGGAGTAGGTCTTAATTAGGAGTATCACCTCTGAGCGTTGTCGACCCTCAGGTTTCCCCCAGTGCTCGGTCTGCTCAATCTGGCCATCCCGCTCGTACGAAACCGAGATTGCGTCGACTGCGCCTGCATGCCACAGGATCACCTTGACGATGCGGTCGACGCCGCGCACGTCCATCTTCCACACGTCGCCACCAGGGCCACCACAAGGACCCATCTTGAGAACCCGCCCCTGAGAGCACAACACAAGAAAGTAGTATCACGCGAGATCATTCAGATGGAGAAATTGCCAGATACATGGAACCACGTATATAAATCACTAAAAAAAATGGCGCGCTATAGAAAATAGCGTGGCCCCTGAAAATATGCTATTAGCGTGCTATAGCGCGCTATAACATGCTATTAGCGAGGCATTGTACATTGATTTTTTTAGTGAGACCATTCTCCATATGCTATAGCGTGCTATTAGCGCTGCTATAGCGCGCTATTTTTTTCGGTGATATAAATGCTAGCTAGGATGCGCGCATTACCTTTGCTTTTACGGCCTTCTCGCGCTTGTCCTCAGTGGCTTTCCCCTCGCTGCGATGGTCGCCGATGCTGACCGTGATTGTGGCGGGGGCGCCACTGGTGATCTCCGGCAGAACAACTGCGAAGCGGCCCGCCGGTAAACATGCGACTTGCTGGAGCGGGATCACTGCTGACGATCCTGCCGGCATGCAGATCGCGGTGACCGACAACGATCTGGCCTGCGGGATGCTGCCGTGATCCTCTTGCTTCGGCTCCTCCACTTTGACGGTCACCTTGCTACCGGCCTTCTCTATCTTCTTGTGGATGGACGTTTCCACTACCAGCTCCACGAGCTAGCGATGGTGAATTGGTGATGGGGAAGCTAGCAGCTAGCTAGGACCAAATATATACTGAGGCTTTTCGGTTCGTCTTCCATACCATGTTCATTTAAGACTTGAGACCGGGGATGCCATGCGGGAGGCTTCTGGCTTTCATCGATCGATCTGTTCCGATTCCCAGGAAACCAGAGTTTAAGTGAGCGTGCAATTTAATGGGTCACTAAGTTTGCCGATTTATTTTATTTTGCCGCAAAATAAAATGAAGAGTCACTAGTCCTCCCCTTCTTCTTCTGAGAAAATCGACCTCCGCCGAATAGAATTTCAAGCGACTTACAAATAGGAAACGCAAGCCAGTGTTCACAAAAGAGTGGTAGTACTACCCCATTGATCGTTTGTTTCGACTTCCGCCCTTTTACACCCTTAAAAACTAGACTCCGGAGCATGGAATTTGGTTGGTGAGTGTGACAATCTTTGCAATGTAAGGTTTAAAAAAACTTTTCAATGATCAGTGATTGTAATCGTCGCTAGACGGTCTACAGATCTGGATGTAATTTTCTTTGTTTATGCTACCATGACAGTTGATGAATAGACCCAAAAAAATCCCTAAAAAAGTTAAGTAATAATATAGATGCATTGGTACAATTTAAATAACCAAGCATGCGGAAATGAACCACGCGATGAGAAAGTTAAGTTGCATACAAGACATAGTTGTTGGAAATAATCATCATCATCAATAGAGATAATAAGCAAAGCCTCACCCACACGCCTCCTTGCCACCACATCACACAACGACACAGACAAGTGAGGTGTACTTATTCAGTCTAGTCAAGATCATCATCATGACACCATATGATCTTGCTTCCTCCCCGCATCTTAATTTCCTCATTGATCTGAGTTACGAGGTGACCGTAATTACTTTGCTTGTACTCCCTCTGTAAATAAATATAAGATGTTTTAGGTCACTAAGGGAATAAGCGTCGGTACATACCTGCGGCATCAGCCAAGTAGCCGTTCACCCACGCATCCGGCGACGTGTCCATGGTGCGGCAATCAGAATTCAGAACAACCGCAACCAGCAGCGCCTGAGGGGAGGACAGCGATCCGGTCTTTTACTGAGCCTGTTTTTTTCCTCGTTGATTTATGTTCAGAGATGCTAATAATGTAAGCTTAATATAGTGGGGCATGCACTGATGTGCTGCGTAGGTCCATGGTGATCATAGTCATAGTGTCATGCTTTGCCTGCTGAAAGTCTGATTAGAAATGCTGCAGAGTGGTCGGTTATCGTCACGTGGTACTTGCAGGCTTCCAGCGTGCCAAGATTACGACCTCCATGAAGCCATTGCATACTGGACGAACGGAAGACTCCAAAGGAAGAGGGGCATCAGCCATTGCTGTTGAAGGTATCTCCAATCCGCAGGGAAGCTCTTGGAGAGATGCTGCCAACACTGACATACATCACAGATGCCCTATATATATTAGTAAATAGGCTGTCTCCACTAAGATATTTCTCTCCAGATGCAGATATGTGATCACAATAGTCAACCAAAGGGTCACCTCAGTTTGCAACCATGCATGGGAAGAAGCACATGCATTTTCATTTCATTACTCAACTTATATACTTACAAAATAGTTTAGAACTATACAATAATCATATGTACTTTCAGGGTCAATTCCCAAATTATCAATCATAATATTCATGTTCGATACACCTGAATTTCATTCAAATATATTACAACCCTGAGCAGCAATATATGTGGTGCCATCTTATTCAACTGAAACCACTAAACATTGTTGAAACTAAGTAACTTCTTGACTCTACACATCCTCATGACACCGTGCCACCCAACGCCGAGTGTGGTCAGCCCCGCGGCGATGGCGAGTACCCTCCACCTGGCCACCACACACACGTAGGCGAGGAACGATAATGGCACGATGCACATGACCACAAGTGCGGGAACTGGTAGCGGCACGCGGTAGGGACGTTTCAGTGCAGGATGCCTAACTCGGAGCCATAGAAAGGATGCGAACTCAAGCAACGTGCCGAGGCCATACATGAAGTTGGATGTTGCTATGACGTCGTCGAACCCAAGGAAGGAGACGGCGATCGTTATGACGGTCGATGCGGTGATGGCAACCCATGGGGTCCTAGTGCGGTCGCCGCGCTGGGAGAAGATGGTCGGGAGGAGGCCCAGGTCCGCCATGCCGAGGAGCTGAAATGCACCGCTGCTCATCTGGGCCTCAAACATGCCTATGGAGGAGATCACTGCGCTAGCCCCCGTCCAGTACTTTAGCCATGGTCCCCCGATGATGCCTGTTTAGACATAGCAAAGTCTAAATCAGTAGAGAAATAAGTATTAGATAAAAGGACTTGGTTGAGACCTACATTGGTCGCCTCGATTGGCCTGGATTGATTATAGCACATACATGCATGCCATTTTTTCTGCCTCGAATATTCACCCGAGGAGAGAGCACCCCACATCTATTATGTTAAGTTTTGTTGGTTATATAGCAGTTCACAATTTTGGAAAACTACAAGATAACCCTCACATTGTCATGAGAATACATGCATGTATTTGCATGACTTATGAAGATTACTGAGATGGTAGGCTGGTTGTGTGGCAAACATAGATGACCTATTGATGTGGATAGGTTGCGTGAATAGAAAAAAAACATGTATTGAGTTGCATATATTATAGAACAGAAGATATATACTTGAAGGCAATGGGGTTTTTCTTTAGAATGGACAGTGTACCACCTTTTCTTTTGACGAAGGGTGTTTAACTAATTTGTAGTAAAGCACCAAGGGAATACAAACAAATGATCACACTCTATACCTCTCCACGGTTAGGACACACACACGCGCGCGCGCGCGCGCGCACACACACACGCACGCGCACGCACGCGCACACGCACGCGCGCGCACACACACAAAAAGGAAAAATGTAAAAAAAATAAACAGCAACATTCATCCTTGTCGATCAACTACTAACCCAAAGAACAAAATGCAAGCACACATGATCCGAATATGGACACAACCATGCATGCACCAACGAAAACATATCGTGGAGCATAGGCTTATGGGCACCCCCTTATCTAGCCATCCAATTCTGCATCACAATTCGTGCAAAAACTTTTCTCTTTTTTATTTCTCCCATATAGTTCAACATATGAACTTCAAACTTTTCAGCACAACAAAACATTCTAACTAGAATGTGAGAAAAAAAGTTTCAGATTTTTTCGTGCATCATAAATACTAAAAATAAGTTTTTTAATTAAACAAATCTCATTTTCTGTAGTAACAAAAAAATCTGAAAGTTTTATTCCATATGTAGTAAGAATGTTTTGTTGTCCTGGAAAGTTTAAAGTTCATATGTTGTTTTGCTTCGAAGCAACAAAAAAGAAAAAGTTTAATATACTAAGTTAGTTGTGTAGTACAGATCTCAAAGTAACATTGGAGGATAAGGATAAGAGGTGTTCAGAAACACGAGCTCAAAAAATCCACATCCCATGCACCACTCAAGCAGCCCAGCCGCTAAGACAACACTGCATAGATGCGTGTCACAGTATGAGAGAAGACGGTACTACTAAAATCCCATATTGGACATGCTCTTGGTGATCCCTTGCCTCCGACCCAAGTGCATGCTGGTCTAAATTTGGGCATGGAGACCGACTACGTGACGATACGCCAGGACCCATCAGTACGCTGCCATGGTCGCGATCTGCTGCCACCAGCTCCGTCGAGCAACCATGGTCCGGCCACCAGCACCTCCGGGCAGCGACAATGTCACTTATGCACACTACCTGTACAACACCAAACTGCAGCGATGAACCACCATTACCCGTCGCTGTGTGCCATCTCCATATCCCTGTCTGATGTATGGGTTCTAGTTGAAGATGTCCCTCCTACAACGCGTGCCACGGCGTTTCTGATGGCTTTTGGGGTGCTCATCGGCAAGCCGATTGAGGTTGATCAAGACTCTCTGGCTATCCTCGGGCCGGTCCGTTTGCGGGTATGGTGTGTGGATCCCCTGTGTATTCGTGGTTTCATTGATGTCTTCCCTTCGGCTGGTGGCTTTCGGCTCAGGGTTCGGGTGGAGGGTGCTTTGGGCCCGGTGTCGCCCCCACCTCCTCCCCCGCCCCCGGCCTCTGGAAATGATGACAAGAGCAAAGATGGGGATGGCTGCCCGGACGATTCTATGCATGGCTCTGATCACCGCTTTACCCAGTCGGAGTGGGACGAGCTCTCTCCTGAAGACCAGGATATGCTGAAGGAGAATGCTCCGGCGGTCGGGGGGCAAATGGCTTGCAGGCGGACTTGATTGGAGGGGAGGCTGCTTCTGGTGGGGCTAAGGGTACACCTTTCTCGACGGTGTGCTCTAATCTCCCTGCCCGTCCTGCATCTCCTTCCCTCTCTGGCATTGAAGACTTGCCTCCGGCTAGCCCCTTTCCCTCCAAGAAGAAGAAGTCATCCGTCAAGAAATTCTCCGCTAAGAGCAGGGCTTCTGGGGACTCAAAGCAGTCTGCGGATGGGCTCTGTCGCAGGCTCGATGCTGACTTGGGTACGGCCTCGGGCCCGTCTTCTGTTGCGGCGTCTCCCCGCCGTGTTCGGCCTGAGCCAGTGCGCTCGCCCGCGTCCACGGCTCGTAAAAGTGGTCGCGTCTCCAACAGCGGTGAGAAGGTGGCTGATCGGGCTGCTCGGCGCGCTGCGGCTAGGGACCTGCCTCCTTCAGGTTCGCGTCTAGTCCCCTCCTCCTCTTTTCCCAATGTTCATTCTCCTGTTCGTCTAGTGCTCCCGTCCCAATCTGATGATCATTTGCTTAATATATTAGATGATGTGGGCATTTGCTTAGATGCTAGTTTGGGTTCTCCCGCTTCTCTACTTGCTGTTATTAGGGCTAATGAAGTAGCTCAGGCTGACATTGCAAAAGCCAAGGAGGCTGGGGGGGATCGAGTGCCCCACTGGTTGTGGCCGGTGGGGTTGAGGGGGGAGATGATAGGAGTCAAGCTTCCCCGGTTGTATCTAAACGTGGGGCTGGGAAACGTGCTAAATCCTGCAAGGCTCCGAGCAGGTTGAGTCTTAGAATCAAAAACCTTACTTTCCGGTGAAGGCTCTTTTTTGGAACATAAGAGGTTTCAGCACTAGGGGGCGCAGGGACCATCTAAAAGACTTGGTTCGTTCTGAAAATGTTGATTTTATTGGCCTTGTCGAGACTCTCAAACCCTCCTTCTCCCCTAGTGAACTCTTGGCCGTTGCTAGGATAGATAGATTTAATTGGAATTTTTTGGCCCCTCACGGTCACTCGGGTGGTATTCTTCTTGGCTCCAAAAAAGATGTTTTTGATTTTGTCGCTTTTGATCATGGCATTTTTTGGGCTAGCACGGTGGTTTCTCTCAGATCCCTTAACTCTTTACTTGAAATCATGGTGATTTATGGTCCGGCTGATCATTCTATGTCCTATATCTTTCTGGATGAACTTAGTAATAAAATTGATTCCTGTCAGCTGCCACTTTTGATTGGAGGCGATTTCAACTTGATGCGATACCCGTCGGCTAAAGGTTCTTCTAATTTTTCGTGGCCTCTGGCAGATGCTTTCAATGCTTTCATTAGGGACATGGCTATCCGCGAAATCCCTAGGGTTGGGGCCCATTTCACCTGGACGAATCACCAAATCTCTCCCATCCGCTCTGTACTTGATCGGGTTTTCGTGTGTCCTAGTTGGGATTTGCTATTCCCCCGTGTCAGCCTCAGAGCCCTGGCTATAGTGGGATCTGATCACTCCCCCCTGATTCTAGATGATGGTACTCGTTCGGTTGCCTTTCCGAGGTTTCAGTTCGATGCTTCGTGGCTCCAAGTGGAGGCTTTCGCCGATTTGATTGCGCAAAAGATTTCGGTCTTCCTGTCTTCTAACCGACGATCTTTTGGCCCGATGGACGACTGGCTTCAATGTTCCTATTTTCTCCGTAGATTCCTTAGAGGCTGGTCTAAAAACCATTATGGTGAGTCAAGGCAGGACAAAGCTAGGTTGGCTGCTCAAATTGAGGTGCTTGATGACCGTGCGGATAATCATGGGCTCTCCGCGGCCGAATGGCAGATCCGCTACGGCCTTGAAGAGGCTCTTCTGTGTATTCATCGTCAGGAGGAAGTATACTGGAAGCAAAGAGGCACTATTAACTAGACCTTAAAGGGTGACTCGCCCACGGCTTATTTTTTTGCCATTGCGAACGGTAGACGTCGGAGATGCCTGATTGATAGTCTCCTTATCGAGGGCGTCAGGGTTTCTGATCAGTCTGTGATTATGCAGCACGTGGTCCACTTCTTTTCTAACCTCCTATCTGCTAAACCTGAGTTGGGATTCAGGTTGGCTTCGTCCTATTGGTCCTCCCTCGATCAGGTGTCGAGTTCTGAAAATGAGAGTCTAATGATTGCCCCCTCCGAAGAGGAGATATTCGAAGTGATTCGATCGGCCAACTCTAATGCGGCTTCCGGGCCTGACGGATTCTCCATCCCCTTCTTTCGGCAATTCTGGCCTCAGTTAAAAGGCATCATTCAGGCTATTACACAAGGTTTTTGGCTGGGTACTGTTGACATCTTTAGACTGAATTACGCGGTACTCACTATCATCCCTAAGGTCAAAGGTGCTGACTTGATTTCCCAGTTTAGGCCCATTGCTTTAATTAATAACTTCGCGAAGATTGCGGCTAAGGGTATGGTAACTAGGGTCTCTCCGATCGCCCATCGTGTCATTAGTTCTTTTCAATCTGCGTTCATAAAGGGGAGATTTATTTTGGATGGGGTGATTTGCTTGCATGAGATAGTCCATGACCTGCGGACCAAGGGCACTAAGGCTGTGGTGCTTAAGCTTGACTTCGAAAAGGCATATGATTCGGTTAGTTGGAATTTACTTTGACAAGTTCTTCTTGCTAAGGGATTTGAAGGTGCGGTGGTTCATCGTCTTATGCAGCTTGTCTCGGGTGGGCATACGGTTGTGGCGGTGAATGGTCAGACTAGTAATTTCTTTGCTAATGGTAGGGGTCTTAGACAAGGGGATCCGACATCCCCGTTGCTCTTCAATTTCGTTGCGAACGCCCTCTCCCATATCTTGTCTCGAGCAGCCTCTGCAGGGCACATTACGCTTGTTAGCTCTCACCTTCTCCCCAATGGCATCACCCACCTGCAATACGCGGATGACACCATTATTATGGTTGAACTTAATGAGGACAGCCTCACGAACTTGAAATTCCTCCTCTTATGCTTCGAAGCGCTTTCGGGTCTTAAAATCAATTTTTCGAAGAGCGAAGTTATTGTGACTGGGGTGCACGATTCGGAAGCTCAAAGAGTGGATCATCTTCTCAATTGCTCTCTAGGGTCTTATCCTCTCAAATACCTGGGCCTACCAATCTCCCCTCTCAAGCTCTTGGCTAAAGACTTTGCCCCGGCAGTTACTAAAGTAGGAAATAGAGTTTTGCCGTGGAGAGGCCGGTATAATTCCCAGGTGGGCAAGGTTGCCCTTACTAATGCGTGCCTCTCCTCCCTTCCGATGTTTCTCATGGGCTTCTACCTCTTGTCCGGAGGGACTCACGCTGGCTTCGACAAGCATAGGGGTGCTTTCTATTGGAACTCCTCTGATAATAAGCGTAAATATAGGATGGTGAAGTGGGACCTGATCTGCAGACCTAAGAGCATGGGGGGCCTAGGCATCATTAATACTTTGGTCACGAACAAGTGCCTCATGATAAAATGTTGGTGGAAGATTATGTTCCTCGAGGAGCGTCCCACATGGCTATCTATTCTCAAAGCTAAATACTTCCCCTCTTCGAGCCCTATGTTCGCCTCCTCTTCTGGTGGCTCTCAGTTCTGGCTCCAGCTCGTTAAAGTTCGACCAATCTTCCAATCCCTTGTAAATTTGTAGTTCGGAATGGTAAATCCACTCGTTTCTGGTTAGACTGGTGGGTATGGGATACCACGCTTGCGGTGGCATACCCGACCTTGTTCTCGTATTGTGCTGATCCCGAGATCTCTATCTTTGAGCTCTCGGCTCATGACTGGGTCCTTGATTTCCGGCGTTCACTTTCTCCTGTGGAGTTGGATGATTGGCAACGTCTTACTGCCTGCTTCCCCTTGCTCTCGAAGGAAGATGGCTCGGTGGTCTGGCCTCATTCTGCCTCGGGGCGTTTCTCAGTTAAATCTGCATACTCTAAACTTATCCCGGGTGCCCGCACAGCCAAATTCAAGGATATTTGGCTAGCTCGTATTCCTCCTAAGATAAATTTTTTTCTGTGGCAAGCTTTCCGGCGAAAACTCCCTGCGGTCGATCAAATTAAGAAGAGGAACGGGCCGGGCTCTGATAGATGTGCGCTGTGTGGGGCTCTTGAAAACTCCGAGCATATATTTTTTCATTGCTCTTTGGCTAAATTTATCTGGAGTTGCATTAGTCTTTGGCTTCATGTTAATTGGCATCCTTCCTCTTTTGAGGATATGCGGCGTTGTGTTAATTCTTTAGAAGGCCGGTCTAAGCGGGTTTTCTGGGTTGGCTGGGCAGCGATCAGTTGGTCGCTGTGGACCACTAGAAACAAGTTCACTATGAACACATTTTCCCGGCTAACCTCGTGATTTGCTTATTTAAAGCCAATGTCTTTTTGCAACAGTGGAGATCATTGACTAAGGAAGGGGACCTAGAGGCTTTCAACGACATGTTATCTAAGATGAGATCTACGGCGGCTTCCCTGCTGCGGCGCTCTAGGAGGATGGCTTAATGACCGGTTCATATGGACTATTTGCTGGCCTGGGTGCCATGTATGGCTGGTTGCCATGTACTCACACTTTTTAAACTCTGTTTTGCTCGGCTTATGTTTTGCATTGAGGGCCGGTGTTGTGACTCTGTCTGGTGGTTTTATTTATAAACTCGGGCGCATGCCTTTTATCTAAAAAATCTCCATATCCTAGTCATCCAAATCACGACAACGGAGGGACAATGAAATGACTGTTGTAGCGCAAACCTCCTAGCAACCACGGGTCTTTTCAACCAAAACCCTCTCCAACAAGATGCCCGTAGGAGGGTAGACCACTGCACAGTCGATGTCATCGTCCAGCCCAAGGGAATCGGGTGCTACGGGTTAATATAGCCTATGTTCAGCTAGATGGCACATAGCCAAGTTGTACCCTCACCACTGCTGTACCTTGTACTTCCTCTGTAGTCAAACTTCATAAAGTTTGATCAAGTTTACAGAAAATAATATAAATATCTTTTAAAAAATTATATCATGTGAAAGTACAATCAATACTGAATCTATTGGTATTGATTTGTTCTTGTATATGTTAACTTTTTTTTTACAAACTTTGTCAAAGTTTGACTTTGATCAAAACTAATACGTGGATAAATAAAACAGTTTTGCTAGAACTCATCTATATGAGATATAATTTGGTCTCATTCACCTTTTATAGCCATTGAATGTGATGCTATAAGATGCGTGTATGCTGACGTGGGTTGTATCTGTTCTTGTTTGCAAAGTGAATGAGACCAAATTATATCTCATCTAGATGAGTTCTAAGTACTCCCTAAATAAAAACGAAGGAGTATCTCTTCTACTTCACCCGTGCAGCCAGTTTTGCCTCCGGCCGACACCTCTAGAGACTCTCCTTCTCCTTATCGGTAACAATTACTCCATCACCCTCCTCTGATGGGTGAAGCGAAGACCTTGCTGCCACTGTCACCCACCATCATTCTACCACCATTATTAATCCAGTTTTGTTGGATCCAAGACGGAACACGTGAACAGAGGCACTAAGGTGATGTTTATCTCCCCATCAGACAAAGGTGATGTCTAATCTCCTTAAATAATTTCTGGCTGACCACCATACAAAAATTTCTCCAGCTTCTTTTTCACTGCTCATGTCAAATTGCATGATATTGTGGCGTTTGTTTCAAATGGGCATGACCTATGATGTGATTGTGATGTGGGGGCTTGATAGGCATGGTGTGAAGTGTGGTGTGGGCCGGGAAAATGCTTTCTTTTGGGATCTTAGACTGCCAGGTGTTTCATGTCTCCACAAGGCCTTAATATACTCCAAACTGAAAGCTACAGTACCACTCTGTCAGTGAGAGCAACATGCATGGTGCATGCATCTCTTAATAATCTCCTCAATTAGTGAAATGATTTGAGAGCGAGTGATGGTAGCCAGTTTAATGGCGAATCACGTAAGGTCATAAGCCTTTGTACGTACCTGCGGCATCTGCCAGGTAGCCGTTCACCCACGCATCCGGTGATGCGTCCGTGGCGCCGATCGCGGCCATGAGCGGCAACAGGTAGCTGACGGCGATGAGAACGACCGCCGCCGCCAGGGCCCGCGGGAACGTCCGCCCCGGCCGCTCTACCTCGCCGGCCATGGTGCTCGCGCTGTCCCAGTAGTTGAGGTTCCAGTACAAGGTGTTGAAGAAGAGCCTCCAGTCCTTCTTCCTCCCCTCCACCCGCGACGCCCACCGGCGCGGCCGTAACTTGGGCACCGCCATCGCCGTCATCAGCACGAACGGGGCCAGCGACACCACCCCGAGCACCATGGCGCCCCACCCAACGACGCTCAGGCCGGCGTAGTTCAACAAGGAGAGGAGCAGCGTCATGCCGATCACCGCGCCCGTGCGCGCCCTGCCGGGCTCCGCGATCGCGGGGGCCACGCCGCCGAGGTAGTCGGCGACGAGGGCCGGGTAGGCGGCGATGTTGATGGTGATGCTGAGGTACTTCCACGTGCCAAGAAGCGAAGCTGCGAGCGGGCCGAAGGCATGGTCCGCCCACAGAACGAAGCCGCCGTTGCCCGGGAAGGCGGCAGCGAGCTCGGCGGTGACGAGCGACTCCGGGATACCCCACGCTAGGGGAAAGATGAGGAAGCCGAGCAGAGTGAAGAGCGGCCCCGCCGCGCGGACCACCTTCTCGGAGCCATACGGACCGCCCGCCACCTCGAAGTAGATGAGGAAGACGAGCGGAATTAGACTGATCTTGCGCTGGTTGTGGGACTCGGACTCCGTCGAGCCACCGCCTTGTTGCACGGTGCCAAGCTGCAGCTGTTGCTCTTCTTGCGCGACGGTGCCATGCAGTTGTTTTTGTTGTTGTTGTTGTTGCTGTTGTTCCTGGCTCGGTATTAGTGATGATTGTATGGTCATTACGATTTCTTGGTTCATGGTGAGCTTGCTCGCTCCTTCGCTCGCTAGAGTGCTGCGAAAGAACAAGCTAGCTAGCTAACGCACATGCCCAATTATTCGTGTGAGCGTTGTGCTATATAAAACTTGAGGAATTGAAAGAGAAAAGGATAAGAATTTTAACCATGAGCATGGGTTACCATAGCCCATGGGTATCCGGTCCTAACGAGTAGGGTATTTTTTGCCCATCGGTATGCCCAAACCCTACCCGATTATCTCATATGTGGGCCATATGTGTCATAAACCCCAAGCTAACGAGTCTTCACAAATAAGCTGAAGTCCAAAACGACAATATGACAGTCCATTTGCACCTCCTACTCCATGATCCAAAGGCCGGTGGAGCTCTCCCATCTGACAGTGTGGGCTCTGCTTGTCATGCTTTCCCAGTTGTACCACGCTCCATTCTCTCCTCTTCTCGACCACCAATTTCCCAACCATAGGAATAACTCATTGGTGCCTCCACCACACAAAAGGAGCTGGCAACTACGCCGCCACCCTTCATTGTTGTTGCATTGATACGCCTAATGGGTACCCATCGGACATGGATACCATTTGGTACATGCACAGACATGTTTTGCACCCGATGGGTAGGGCATGGGTAGGATTTATGCCATGAGAAACATGGGTATATGTAGACCCGGGCATGGAAAGCCCAACCCGGTTAGCCCAGCCCAAAAGCCCAACATTCAGGCCGGGCTCGAACTCAGCTTTTCCGTCAGAAGCCCGGCCCAAAAGCCCAAAAATAAGACCAAACATGGCAGAAATCATTATTTTATGAAAAATATAGGTATAATATATGTTAAATATCCCTACAATCATTACTTTAATTTAAAGGGGACTGTTCATGTGGTTCGGCCAGGCCGGGCCAGGCTCATGCTTGAGATTTGAGGTCAAGCTTTACAAAGCTCAGCCCAAACCACCCGACACGACGAATGCCCAGATTTAGGTATGTGTGTGGGATTTTTGTATCCGCATCATGGATTTGATGGCTACACAACGGTCATTATGCCCCTCATTGATGGCTTCTGCAAACAATTAAGGGAACGGCTACGTCGTAAAATATACCATCATAAAATTGTAGTCCTCCGTAAACGGCAGGTAGAAGCAATTTTCATCCAATCCAATATCAGCACGCAAACCCCTAGTGTCAAAATAGTTGGCCCACTCCATTTGCTACATTGACGATGACAAATCTTTAGACCATATTCAAATTACTATAAGTAAAAAAATACGTTCAAGGGAAAAATTAGCATGACCTTTCTAAAAATTGGACGTATTGAGTGCCAGAAATTTGACAAAATTGAAAATGAATCAATGTTTTGCCAAAATGTTGGCACT